TTATTGAAAACCATTTCTATGGATTTCCTGGCAGGCAGAAGCATGGTGTCCRTTGCTGCCAGGAAGAGAAAAACCTGATCCACTGCTATCAAGACCAAAGGTGATAAAACAAATTTACAATTATCATATAGAGAGACCTCTTTTTAAAACGAGCCATTCTACCTTCAGGCTTACYTTCGTACAAATAAAAAAGGCCTTATAGAATTACTAGATGCTGAGTATTATGCCTGGATAAAAGGYCGTATTAACCACTATTGGCCCCACTGGGTTGAGGGATTACAACAACTGAAGAACCAGAAATCAAATCTGGATAACAGACCTTCACGAAAGGTACAATATATAATTCAATGGTAAATATTGTACATATATATGTGAAAATTTGACATCACAAACATGACGTGATGTTGAGTGGCGTGATGTGGCATTACGTGTCATGATATATGATATGATATGATATGATAGAATAGGATAGGATACAATGTAATATTATGCTTATGAAGCACATATTACAAGTGCTGATTTCTAACCAAGAGAGTTTTATAAGTATTAAACATTTTTCAGATTCTTATATTTATGGGATCATTTGCCTTTGAGCCTGAGTTCTTTCATATGGCATTCAAAGGTGGCCCGCTTGGTGAACTTGTTCAGTGGACTGACACTATAGTAGCTTTGTATATGTTTGGACACAATATTACTATAAGCTCTAAAAGGGAAGATTTGAAAAGGTAAAAGCTATGATTAATCAAACTTATTGCAAGGGAGTTCCATAAATTAAAAAAGGAAAAGAAAAGAAAAAGAGAATTGAATTGAATTGAAATTGCCGAGTGATGATTTGCACTTCTTAAGGGCGAATTAGATGGCACAACTTTTGCCTGCAACCATTGCATGCATAAGTCATCCTTGCAACATGGCTACAGCTGTCATGGGGATATAAAACAATAGTAGTTTACAATAGTTGATGCTATGTTCTAAGGATGACTTACACAGGTTTCATGCGATGGTTGCAGGCAAAAGGTAAGTGTTGTCTAATTTTTGGCAATTCATGCACATTTTAAAGTCAAGCTGAAAATGTTCAAATCTCCACACATTGTTCTTGAAAGGATATCCCATGATTCAAGTATTAATTGTCCTTGATCTTGGAATTATGATGATCAAATGGTGCATTACTGGCATAATCTTGACAAATCTTAAGTTTAATATTTTGAATGTTGGTCTTTTGTCAGATAATAGATTTTGAAAGTATTTTTGCACGCTTCAGGTTGCTCAATGTACCCAAAGAAGAACAATGTGCAAGTAAAGCTAGGAATGATGACTTTGACACAATTTATACTGACTATAATGGTATGAAGTTTATAGCAATGACTGTTGGACCAAACCATTCTCAATACAGGTGATCATTTGTTGTTATTTACGTCGTTATTTATTTATTTATTTATTTATTGTTGTTATTTACTATGTCATGTGACCAGCCATTGAGATAGTGTTTTGCTGTGAAAAGATAAGACTGGAACTTACTGGGAAGTTTTGAACGTTAGTCTTCATCACAGTATTGAATGACTGCTTGAATTTTCATTTCAATTTACAAGATAGTCAAAGTTTAGATTACTATAGGTTTGCTTTACTGGAAATGGACTGGACTCACTTTTGTATTAAGTAGGGTCGATTGTAGATTTAATTGTGACACATTGAGCTAAAAGCATGAAAATTATATTATAGCATATTAAATTAAATACTGTCTGATGAGTGCGTAGCACGAAACTCGGAGTTATAGCAAAATCTTGCCTCTTTGATATTATATTTATAGCATATTATAGCAATTAGAAAAATTTCCCCAATTAGGGGTGGGGTCAAATTGGTACAAAAAGCTGAGACTATATATATGTGAGCAATTTCAAAACAACAATTTTTCAGGGCTTATGTTTATCATGCTGTGGTTTTCTATAATTAAGGGCATTTTAGTGCAAACATACAGAAAATCTTCATCAGTTAGAGACTGCAATGGAATTTTAGTAGTAACACAAATGATTATTATTTCAATCTGTTTCAGGTGTAAATTACGAATACTTGATTCMTTTGGAACTGAGGCAGAGTTTAACTTTGCAGAATATCCACACCCCATTCCAGGGGGACGATCTGCTTGGGCAAACTCAGATATAAACCTGCGGCAGATAATGACAATGTTTCGTAAGTTCAATATTTCATCCTCTCAGACTATAGAATATATAAGATAAAATGTTATTAAGAATATAACACCTCATAGTCTCTCAAGTGCCGATTGCGTTTTAATATATATTATATATGATAATTATATTGTTTCTTTTCTGGCTATTGTTTCTTATTAATCATTTTCTGTAGCTCACAGTCCTGACAACACATTTTTGGGCTTTGTTGTCGATATTCCTCCAAAGCCAGTTCCTAATGTTGAGGAAGCTAAAGGAAAGCCAATTGGTTTGGTTTACGGTAAAGAAGCAAGATTTTGGGAGGTAAGCATAAAGTCCTCAGCTTTTTGATGTTTGTTTGCATATTGCATGTGAAGAAGTTTTGTCGTTTCTTTGTAAAGTTTTATAAAGGCATAACACTTGGTTCCTCAAGTAAAGTAGATGCTGTAATATAGTGCAAACCAGGTCTTAAGGGGATTTTGAAATCATACTGACTTTTTATTGGGCTCCATATTTTTTTGTGCCCCTATTCCTAAGGGTTATCTATTTTGAATTTTAGTAAATGGGGGGGGGAGGATTTTGAAATTAACTGAAATGCTAACGCATTGTTTCTYAGGGGAAAAGAGAGTACTTGGATCTTTTAAATAAATATTTTGAGCTCCACGCAACACTTGGGGATTATGGACTAATGACAGGAGCAGTAAGTCTCAGCTGTCTTATGATTGTCTTATTGATTGGGTATTGAATTGCAAATAGCAGTCATTAAGAAAATACAGTTAACTCTCTTTGCATGACCACTCTAGTATGGGAGCATCTCCCATAAGCGACCACCTTTTAAATTTCCCGTTTTGTTCAGTTTCCCATATAAACTCTGTAAAAAAAAAACTTTCTCGTAAGCGACCATCTCTCATAAGCGACCACTTTTTCCTGATCTTGAGGTGGTCGCTTACAAGAGAGTTGACTGTAGAGCATTTTGTATTTTATTGAAAAGATTACATTTTAATAAAAGCATTCAGCCTGAGAGATCTTTTGTCAATTTTCACAGTGACATTGCTTTTGCAATTTAGCACATATGACATATAAATAATATTTTAAAGCATTATTTTCAACAGCTTGTATATTTTAATTTTCTTTGAATTCATTTTTTTTTYCTTTTTGCAGAGCAATATACCCAAGTATGTGGTAAACCATGGCTTGCTTAAACAAGCAGATTTGAAAAAGCTGCTTAAAAAAGCAAAGGTTTTTATTGGACTTGGTTTTCCTTATGAGGGACCTGCTCCACTGGAAGCTATTGCTCATGGCTGTATCTTCCTAAATGCAAAGGTACCAAACATGCAGCTACAACAGTTGTGACAAATATAATACAATAAAATGTCTACTAGTCTTATCATAATCATTGATATTTTCTAATAAATCTGTTTACAACAATATTAAAAATACTAATAAATATTTACATTTTCTACAATTTCGGCTAAGACTACTATTTTCAGTAACCTCTCTTACAATAAATATTAACATTAAAAAAGAGCAGTGATATCTAAAAAGAGAAAATATATATATATATAATTATTGAATAAATATAAATAAATAAATAAAAAGGAAATAAATTTTTATGCAAAAAATTTACAAATCTGCTATAATAGTGTTAAAATCATCTGATGAAAATTCTTTCGATCTAAAAGGTGTTCGAGAGCCTCTAACACACCTATGGGTTGATCTTATAAAGTTCAAAACTTAAACTAGCTCTAATCCAAGCGATGCAGGATGCATAGTCCTCTCCTGATCGTTCTGTGGTTTTTGATGCTAAATGTTTGATGAAGATCTCGCACTCTTTTCCCATGCTGCCGTTTGTGACAAAAACTAAGGGGGTGATATTTATTGATATTGATATTGATATTTTCTGACTTCTTGTAGCTTGATCCACCCCACAATAGACTGAATACCTACTTCTTCAAACTAAAGCCAACTTTCAGAGCAGTAAGTGCAGTCATTTGTGACTGGTGTATGATTTGTATTCAGCTGTTGCTTCTCTCACTTTGTTAAGAGGTGTGCAATGCATCAAGGGAAGGCTGAATGAAAAGTGTGCTTTTGTTTTATGTTTTAGCTGACTTCTCARCACCCTTATGCTGAGGACTTTATTGGGGAGCCCTATGTTTTTACTGTCGACATATCAAATATGACAGCTGTGAAG